TTCATATTTTTCAAAATCCAAAGACCCACACAAGTCCTCTGAGCCAGCCCTTTGCTGGGACCTGAATGCACCCACAACAACCTTTCCTGAACACTTCAGGCGGAGCACAGCAAGAGTGAGGACTCCTTTGTTTTTCAAGCATATCCAGCATTTTTCCTACCTTTTAACCTGTCAGAGAATAAGCAAAAAATAAAGTCTAAGTGCAATAAATAACTGTTGGCAAAAGAGTTGCTGATCAAGGCTTGCTGATCTGTGTTTCTTAGAACACAGGGTTGTATTTCTTACAAATGCAGAAAACCAGCGTTAGGTTGTGTGGTTTGGTTTGGCTCTGCAGGGCAAGCAGAGGCATCGCAGAAGCCAGTCCCTTCTGTTGCTTCCGTTTCACTTTCCTGGGCAGCTCTCCAGTCTCTGTGTCTGTTTAAAGAGAGCCCAAGTCCACACGCAATCCTATCTAATAAAGAGGGAATGTGCTAATTGATCCTCACACCATCGCAAAGATGGCAGCGCCCACAGCCACAAGATGGCAGCGCCCAGTCCCCTCAGCCCCGCTGGGGTGCCTGCCTCTGGAGTCCCCTAGTCCCTTCAGCCCCCACAGCCACCCAGGGCCAGCCCAAGGCTCAGGTAACCAGGGTCGGCTGAGGCTTGCGCTGCCGGCAATGGCAGCAGCAGAGGTGTGATGGGGCGTTGCCTTCCCCTGATCACCGGGTCGCTTCCCATCCCTGAGGGCTCCCGGACTGTGAGGGGGCAGGCCAGGCTGAGGGACCCCCCTCCAGTGCATGAATTTTCATGCACCAGGCCTCTAATTCTCTAATAAGTATACTCTGATCAATATATCAAATGTGACTCCTCATTAAGAGTGTTGGTGATAATAAAACTGAGAAGATTCTTTTTTGACTATAAAAATGGCAAAAATTTCAAAATAAATTATATGCAACCCTAATTGAGAAACAAAATTTAAAGTGTTTTCAAACGTTCGTGAGAATATAAACTGCTAAAGTCTTTCTAGAAAGCAACTTAGCCATATAGATCAAGAGCTTATACCCTTTGAGACAGTAATTCCCCAACATGAAGTGTAATTAAATAGGCAGTGATAAGCAAGAGTATATATTTATACAATATTCACTATAGAATATTAGTAAAATTTATTTGAAATAAACCACAAGTCCAGAAAAAAGAAGATTAATCACATATGGCAATTTACATAGATAATTTAAAAACTGTAGGTTATAATTGTATTGATATTATGATCTCAATTTTTAAAAATATTCATTTACTTGATATAAGATGAATATATATAACACAATGTTAATAGCAGTTCTCTGTGAGTGATGGGGGTCACAAGTTGTTTTTTATCTTTTAAACTTTTCTATCTTGTCTAAATTATCTCCAGTTAAGAAAATAATATTTCAGCCGAAACCGGTTTGGTTCAGTGGATAGAGCATTGGCCTGCGAACTGAAAGGTCCCAGGTTCGATTCCGGTCAGGGGCATGTACCTTGGTTGCAGGCACATCCCCAGTAGAGGGCGTGCAAGAGGCAGCTGATCAATGTTTCTCTCTCATCGATGTTTCTAACTCTCTCTCTCCCTTCCTCTCTGTAAAAAATCAATAAAATATATTTAAAAAATAAAAATAAAAAAAATAATATTTCATATATTTATATCTAGAGATCTAGCTACATAAACAAATACATAAATATTTTAAGAATTGCTGATTATTCATAGTCTGTCCCTTTACTCACCTAAATTAAGGAACATTTCTCATTAATCTAGAAGGTTCCAGAAGTAGCTTCTATGGCTACATATTGTCAATAATATGTAGAACCAAAAAGCTAATATTTATACACTCACACACATGGGTGTTTCAAAGCTAAGGCAGCACACTGTCTGATCCAAGCCATTCACACTCTGGGGTTTGATTCAGTTCTAAATTATCTAGGCTTAGCTGTTTCTACATCTCCTTTCTCTCATTACTTCTTGGGAAAGTCTCCATCACAGAAAAAACAAAGGCAGAGAAGAAGTTGAGACCAAATTAGCAGTGTGCCTGCATGTTAGTAGCTTGGATCCAAAGGTTTTGAAGGGACCTGAATCTAATGACTAAAATGGGATTTGGAAACTCTCTGCACTTGAATAATTCATGCTACACCCATCCCGGGGGAGAGCTGAAAGCTACTAACTTGTTTTAAGAATCAAAGTGCATGCAGCTGTGTGCCAGAAGGCCCCTGCAGATGATGGTGTAAGATTTCCCCAAATGTGTGTGTCTCAGGATAAGACTCAAAATCAATCCTCCAAAAAGGCAGATCAATCCTCTAAAGAGAACACTAAATGCCTCAAGTCCTTCCAGAAAGTAATAGAGGAAAGGGCCAAGTCATAAATAAATTACAAAAGATGCTTTTTTCTGCAAGAAGGGGATAGATACTACAGGATCTGAGAATTCCACTGATGATGGATTCCTGAGTGCTTCTGACTAACAGGTCACCGCAAGAGATGTGCATGTATGTATGCATAAGGTGTGTGTCTGTGCGTGCGCATGCGCGAATGTGCTTGGCTAGGAGTGTAAGTGTATGTGTACAAGTGAGTGTGTATGGGCATGTGTGTAGAAGTAAGTAGATGTGGGGGCTGTGCTAGTGGGTGTGTAAGGCTGGTGTGGTAGAGAATTAGAGGGAGGGAGTGGAAAGTAACAAGAAAGGAGAGTAAATATAAAACACACTCCTAAATGAACTAAAAGGAATCAATACATTTTAGACCACTGTGGAAATTCGGATTAAAAAAGGGAAACTAATATTGTAAAAGTTATAAATATCACCAATATGATAACATTCAAATTACTAGTAGATAAGTTCCAACACATCACAAGGACCATCTCTACACTGATCATTTAGGAAATTTGATATCAATCCATACTATCCCTAGCCCCACTCAGCGGAAGTCCAGTTCTTCCATCAATGCCTGAACCATTCCAACCAGGCCTGGCCACATACCTGGAGCCCCAGCCTCACCAATAGCAGGATCTGGAGAGTGACTCCTATTACTCCATGATCACCACACATGGCTGCTCGCCTGCCTCAGGTTCATGTACAATTCTGCCTTGCTTGGTTCCTTCCATCATTCCATCCATCCAACAGTAATTGAGAGCATTCTATATGCTACGCACTGGTGATCTCATCTACATGCCCAGCCTGCTCAGCTGGAGCATAAACACCTTGATTAACTCTTGTCAACCCCCTTCCCCAAACCTAAATATCAAACCTTGATCCCCACATTCCTAGCCCTCAGGCACTTGTTTAGGCACTGCTTCAAACTGGAGATGACTCTAAACAGTTCCCACCAGCAATGCAAGGGAAGCCTCTCCCAGAGGCCCCCATTACCTTGTTTATCTCACCACCCCACTCCACCATACACAAGCCACATGCACAAACACACACACACATACACGCCAATATCTGGTTCCTCGACATCAACCCAAGTTAAGCTGATGTTTCCTGAACCCCTTGCCAACATGAAATTTACTCCTGGCTACCAGCCCCACCCCCACCCGACCCCCACATGTATGTATGTTCATCTCTAGCTCAGGTTCCACTCATCCCCACTTCTACCCCTCCAGTCTAGAATTGTAATTCTAACAGGTCTTACAGCCAATATCACACAACAAAAATACACGATTGTGTTTCTTTGGTCAAAATGTACAAATAATCTATATATATAAAAGCCTAAGCGACTGTTACGACTGAATGACCAGTCAACCAGTCGCTGTGACACGCACTGACCACCAGGGGGCAGATGCTCAACACAGGAGCTGCGCCCTGGTGATCAGTGCACTCCCACAGCCAACCTCCCGTGACCCCTCCCCCTGGCTGGCTGGCCCCCCTCAGCCCCTGGTGCTAAGCCATTCGTAGAGACCTGCTTCTGGGTTGGGGTTTCATACACAGCAGAGCAGCTCCCTTGCTGCGATCTATTGAAAGATAAACAAGAGTTTATCTCACTCCCATCCTCTCCCTTTTCCAGGTGCCGCCTGCCCCACAGCGGTGGTGGCATGGTGGTGAAGGAAGGAGGAGGGGGGAAGGCGGGGAACTGTGCGGTGGCAGGGCACCGACGGCGATGTCAGCGTATGGCGTCTGTTCCTTCCACACCCGGCTGGGGACCATCACCTCCTCTCCCAACCCCATCGGGACCTTCAGGCCAGGCTGGGACAGGGAACCAGTGGTGGATGGCGGCGGACGCGCCCCTTTCCCATGGGGGCAGAGGGCCGGCTCCCTCCTGGGGAGCCGGTGTCCAATCTTCCACGGTCCCTCCCCCACAGCTGGCCAACCTCCCATGGTCCCCCCCCACAGCTGGCCAACCTCCCTCAGCGCCCCCCCCCATGCACAAATTCATGCACCAGGCCTCTAATATTAATATAAAACTTTGCATAGCACCAGACTTACAAAGCATTTATTGACACTTTCCTCATTGTCTGATCTACAGACACTACTGAAATAGGAGAAAGGAGTGCTTTGAACTCAAACGACACAGAACAGTGTACTTTCACCTACATGTGAAAAATCTAAAATCAGGTGAGACAAAAGGAGCAGTGAGTCCATCAGCCCACTGTGCTTGCTGCAGCAGTGGACACACCAGAAAGTGGTCAACTACCACCATCCCAAAGAAAATAATGAAGACCAACAAAACAAGGGTACTAGGAACCCTTGCCATAAGAACTGAAGCCATATTTCAGCAACAAGTGTTATGTCAATACGTAAGGACCTGGGAGAAAAGCCCGGGTGTAGACATGGCAAGATTTGTGTCAGCTTTGCCAGAACACAACATGAACAAGATGGCAGGTGAGAAGCCCAGTATCTCCTCCACCCGTACATATGCTGATCACAGAAAACACCCTGGCCCTGGATACCACCGCCTGGTGTCTCCATCAAGCTCCCAGGCATCAGCCTAGAATTCTCCATTGTGTTACTCCTACCCTGCACCCTCCCAGCAACTCTCAAAACCTGAAGAGGTTCGTAGTGCTTGCCTTTGATCAACCGCTCAGGTCTCGTCCCAGGTAAGGTCCACATTGCCTGTGCCAAGTGTCCAAAGACGGTGGCGTCGAGAGTGGAGAACTTGGGCCCCATGATGTACTTCTTATCACCTGCAGCAGACAGAACAGAGAGGTCACTGCTGGCCTGTGCTGCCCCGCAAGGTCACACGGCACTCAGCACACTTGCATTATGTGCTCATTTAACTGTGAATCAAAAGATTTGCAGAGTCAAAATGCATGCACCCCTCTTTCTTTCAAAGAATGAGAAAGAAAAGTAAAACAAATTGAACAATTCTGTGATATATTAACCCAAACAATTGCAAAGCAGGGAAGTAACTGGGAAGATGTCAAGATAAACAGATAAGGGAGGAGGTTCGTGGGAAAAAAGGACAACAGATCACCCACAGACCTGGAGGTACCCCTTCATCTCCAACTGTAGTGATTAAAGCTTGAGAACACCTGGACGTTTGCTTAAACCATCTCAAAAGTAACCCAAGCCAAGCACACCAAACTCAGCACTTACTTTATTAATTTAATACATTTCCTTGGGGAAAAGAAGAGGCCTAAGTTAGTTAAGAAGTTTGGAGGCAAGGTTTTCCATGAAGCCTCCTTGGTCTTGGCAAGGTTCTCACCACTAAGGACCAGCCCCATGGGAAACACTACATAAAGAAAAGCTATAAAATTACAGGAAGTTTCACACTGCTGCTCTCATTTTCCACCACTACTGACCTAGTTCAGGCCTTGTCACCTTGACTATCACATCTGGCCTAGGTTGTCTCCTGGGCCACTGTCAGGTGCTATAGCATGTAGAGGCAGCACAGGTGGAAGTGATCCACCTAGTTCACTGTGGGAGCCTGGTCTTAAAACTCTTAAAACCTCAGTTTTCCCATCTGGAAAATGGAGATGATATTAACGGTGCCCATTTCTTAGAGCTGCTGTGAGGAGTAAATGGGATAATGCATGTAGAGCACATAGCACCATATCTGGGTGACTCAATAAACATTAGCTCTCATGACGATAGTCCCTCTGGATCTCCAGTCCATCCCATACCCCTGAACGTAACTCTCTAAGACACTCTGTCATCATATCCCTCCCTTTCACAAATACCTTTAATGGTTTACAAAATGGGTTTTAAAGTAAAAGTCCAAACTTAACTATGAATTCAAGCTCATTATATTCGGCCTCCAACCCATGTTCCAGTTTTATTCCGCATGCCTCCCTTTCTCTAGTAAATCTATTCTAAGGAACACCCCACAGTCCCCAGGACACTTTATGCTTCCTAGTGCTCATACTGCACTTACCCCTCTTCTGCTTCCCCAAAACCTATGTGCTCCTCACTTCCCTCCATATGATAAAGACTATCATCTTACGAGGTTCCGCTTCAAAGCTTTCTGTGTTCACTTTATCTGGTGGCAACAGTAGCTTTTAATTCAGACAGTCCTGTGTTCAAATCTCACTTTTACACGTACAACCCTATAGAATTTTAAGTCATTTAATGCCAATTAACCTCAATTTCTTGAACCATATATTGGTTGTTTTTCATTTGTTCATTTTATCTTTCCAACTAAATGGTGAGCTCTTTGAAAGTAAGGGTAATTTCTTATTTTTATTTAGCAAACTCTAATACAGTGTTTCCTACACGTCAGGCGTGGTTCTACATGCTGTACTCTACAAATATCTGCCTGTTTCTCTGTTCCTGAGTGGCAAGCTGAGAAAATTAAATACCTGATGACAACACACAGGCAAACTAGGAGGGGAATGCAATCTAACAAATTGATGCTTTTATAAAGGTGTTGGTGAACCCTACGGTAGTAATTATATTGCAATATATACATATATCAAATCAATAAGGTATACATCCCAATTTGCACAATATTATATAAACATCAATTATATCTCGATTTCAAAAAACTAAAACAACAACAAGGCCACCATATGGAGCTGGTGGCAATTTTTAAAAATGTATTTCTACTCTACTTTCCACAGGGCCCAGGGAATAACCTACACTAGTACAATATACTGAACCTACCAAATTGTCTTTCTGGTGAGGACAAGCAAGCTGTCCATGCTAGAGCCCTTGGGTGTTTTCCATTACCAACCAGCTCATCCAACATTTGAGTCTTTACCTGGGATCTAAACCCACTACCCAAATACTGGGAATACAAGGGAAAAATACTACCCAGGCTACAAGAACAAAGAAAAGCCAAACATATGCCTGGCCAGTGTGGATTAGTGGTTGAACATCTATCTACCCATGAACCAGGAGGTCACAGTTCGATTCCTGGCTGCAGGCTCAATCCCCAGGAGGGGGCATGCAGGAGGCAGCTGGTTCATAATTCTCTCTCATCATTGATGTTTCTATCTCTCTTCCCCTCTCCCACTCTCTGAAATCAATGAAAACATATTTTTAAAAATGTTTTTAAAAAGCCAAGTATATAATTTGTTCTCAAGAGTGTCTGTTACTGCTTAATAGTGCATCCTGCTGGCTCCAGGCCTCAGCCACACCCCTTCTGGCATCAGTGATTCAGTGATGCAGAAGGACCCCGGTCTAGAGCTCTTATACTATCATCCTGCAAGGATGGGAGGGGTGTGCCAGCCAGTGCTCCCTTGGGAGCTGTGACAGGCTCAGCCCACTGAAGGCCTGAATGCAAGGAAGCCCACCAACTGGAAGCCACAAGAGGATCTTAGGGACTATTAGGAGAAGGGCTACACACTGTTTCACAGAGAAGAAAAGATAGAGGAATGTCAGGGCCAGCCTGACAGGGTTGAGCAGGGCTGAGGCAGGGAGGTGGGAATTGAGAAAAGAAAGAAAGACAGGAAAGCGGGGTCGGGAGGACCCCAGTTCTCTTGATGAACTGAAGCGAGTTTATTAGCTATACAATCCTATTTATACATAACACACTGAACAGGAGGTCTGTCAAGAGGAATGTATTCTTTGTTCCTCTTCATCTCTAAGGGAGAGATACAGCAGAAGGACAAGTTCTCAGTACAGCATATCTCAGTAAATAGTTACAGACTTCTTGGCAAGCTATGAAAGGCTGTTCTCATTCTACAAATGTTACTCCCATTCTACTGATAATCGCACTCCAAACGAGTCTGGGAAAACTGTGGGGTAAGGGTCCCAGCCTTGCTAGCCCCTACAGGTGCAAGGACCTTGCCAGCTTACATCTGGCCCCCAACAGAGGAAAACTTCTTTCTGATCAAAAGGGAAAAAGAAATTATCTCAAATTGCAAAAAAGTCTCGGGGTACAATGCTGAGAGAAATCTGTGAAGTCCATTGTACAATCCAAGACAAGAGGAAAAACTGATTAAAAAAAAAAAAACTTCAGAAACCTAAAAATGGAACACATAGGATGTTGATAATAAGGAAAAATAATAAAAAATATAATAATTTGAAACCATACATGAACTAGCGCATGTAGGTTTGCCACTGGCCTCAGAACACTAGAACTGGAAGGGCACTGAGTTGGTGACAGAACCAGGCTAAGAATGCTGGCACCAGGTCCCTGACTTCCCGCCCATCGCTCTTCGCTCTGCCTAACATGCCTCGTGGGCCATCATCTCAGCAATAAGGACCCCATGGAGCAACAGGAGGGCTGAGCTGAGGATGTTTACAAAAAGATGCTTTAACATGAGGAATACAGAATACAGAGGGAGCAGAAGTTTCAGGATTTTTAAAAGGTGCTAGCAAACAGCCCAGCCAGAGTGGCTCAGTGGTTGAGCGTCGACCTATGAATCAAGAGGTCACAGTTCGATTCCCGGTCAGGGCATATGCCCGGGTTGCGGGCTCAATCCCCAGTGTGGGGCATGCAGGAAGCAGCCGATCAGTGATTCTCTCTCATCATGGATGTTTCTATCTTTCTCTCCCTCTCCATTCCTCTCTGAAATCAGTAAAAATATATTTTTTAGAAAGGTGCTAGCAAACAAAACTGATGAAATTTATCATTTGTGGAAACAGTGAATGGTAGATACAAAATTATATGTGTATACACATACAACATTTATAAATTTAAAGACTATAAAAATATCCTGTTACTAAAAAGTCCTTAGAGTGCCCAATGGCAGGTGGCATTTTAAAAACATTTTATTTTTAAATAATTTTAGACTCACAGAAAAGTTATAAAAATAGCCGAGTTGCCGTGTACTCTTCAACCACCTTCTGCTAATATTAACATTTTATATAACCACAGTACATTTATCAAAACTAGGAAATTAACATTAAGACAATACTATTAACTGCACTATAGACATCATTCAAATTTTATTAGTTTTTCAACTAATGTTCTTTTCCATTCCGGGATCCAGTCCATGAGCTCACATTGCACTTAGTTGTCATGCCTCCTTTCTCCTCGACCTATGAAATTGCTCAGTCTTCCCTTCTCTTTCATAACCTTGAACTTTTAAAGAATACTGGTCAGTTCTTTTGTAAAATGTTCACCAATCTGGGTTTGTCTAAGGTTTTTTATGATTAGATTAGGTCATGTATTTTTGGCAAGAATACCAGGTAAGTATTACTGTACCCTTCTGTAGTGGTTAATTTTTTTTGCCAACTTGACTGAGCTATGAAGTGCTCAGTTATTTGGTCAAACATTATTTTGGGTGCTTTTGTGAGGGTGTCTTGTATGAGATGAACATTTAAGTGGTAGACTGCGTAAAACAGACTTCCCTCTCTTATGTGGGTGGGCCTTGTCTGATTAGTTGACTAGAACAGAAAGGCTGACTCTCTTCCAAGCAAGAAAGAACCCTTCATTCCTGACTGCTTTCCAACTGGGACATGGCTTTTCCTGCCTCAAACCACACCATCAGCCATCCTGGGTTCACGCTTGCCAACTCACCCTGTAGACCTTTGGACTGTCAGCTTCCATAATTGCATGAGCCAACTCCTTATACTAAGTCTTTATACTAAATTTTTTTTCATATAGTCTATTGGTCTGTTTCTCTGGGAACCCTGACTAATACACCTTCTCAGAGCATCAAATCAGAGGGTCCATAATGTCCATGTCTCGTCACTGGAGATGTTAACCTTGACCATGTGATAAAGGTAGTGTCTGTGAGGTTTCTTCACTGTCATGGTACTATTTTTCCTTTTGCGATTAATAATCTTAGGAGAG